AGACTTGTGGACTTCAACTCCCAGAATTCCTCCTCTCGCTCTTCATCTTGATGATGTGTGGACGGGTGGGGGGAGGGAGCTGGAACCGGTTCTAACCGGCACTGTAGATTGTGGAACCTCTTCTATAGAAGAGGTTAGAACTGGCAGGAACCCACCCCTGGGTTGAATGCCCAAATATTGTATATAGTTCTACATAAAATAATGACATATATTTGTATTACCATTTAAATTGTATACAATCTAATGTTTATATATATTGATGAAAAAACACCATATTGTTTTATTGGACACAGCTGGGACTAGGAAAAATGCTTCTTATTTTACTATGACTGCATCTCCAACTGTTTATAATCATATATTAGGCAGGAAGATGTGTGAAATATGGCTCCTATTTGGCAAAATGCAGTTACTCCTTCCCGTTGATGTTTGTCTATTATTGAAATTGTTCATGGAGAAGATACTGCGCCTGATTTGGTGAAATTCTTTAATTTGCGAGGACTAGAGTGAAAAGCAATTTGGATTGCATATACAGTAAATTATATAGATTCATTGCCTAGATTTTCAGACAGTGGTCAATGACTTTTATTTCAAAAGTTAACTATCTTTTTACATAGATGAACTTTCATTCTCAAAATTATTCCAGAGTTAATCTTCCTTTTTTCCCCTTCTTTCTTCTTTTGTCATTTAGCAGATGCCTGATGATGACAAAGATATAAATAAGGAAGATGAAATAGAGTGCACCCCTCAAATAACTGCAGATAGAAGACGCAGCTTGTGGTATACAAGTCACTACACAACTGATGAGAGAAAAGTAAAGTCTAAAGGAATCAGTTAATCTAATTTGTACTCCTTTAGATCTTTTAGCAAGAACTGAGTGTGCAAGTGTTCACTTCTGGTCTGGAGACAATTGCTAAACTATCCAGTAGATCTCCAAGAGGCCAATTACAAGGTTTTACAATACTAATTTATTTTGTGATTATCACCAGTAACTTTAACCATATGTTTAACCATCATTGAGTAGTTACAGATAATCCTTGGCTTATAATCGTTTAATAATGGTTCAGAGCTACAACAGGCTGAGACAAAATGATTTATGAATGATCCTCAACATTCCCACAGTCAAGTTGTTACAATTTGAATGCTTGGCAACCAGTTCATATTTACAATGGTTGTGGGTTTTGCAGCCACTCAATCACAATTTGCAAAGTTTCCATCCAGCTTCCAACAAAGAAAGCCAATTGTGGAAGCCAGATCCACTTCCACAAACTCTAACCATGTGATTTGCTTAATGAACAGGGTGATTCACTTAATGACTGTAATACAAATGGCCATAAAAACTAGTCCCTGGTAATGTGATGATTCACTTAATGACAGCATTGCTTAGCAACCAAAATTCTGGTCCCAATTGTGGTCGTAAATCAAGAATTACCTGTATGTTGCTGTTGTATACTATTCGGAATAAAAATACACTCTACCTTATATAATTTGGTATAGATTTTCAGCATGCAGTCATTTTGAAACATTTATTTTATTGTTATTACTACTATTGTATCACATGGCCTTCTGAACTAACAAATTATTTTTACTTTGCTTTTGCAGCTTTTGTCAATGACTCAGGATGAACACAAGCCATCCGATGTTAGTACATGGTTTCAAACTTGCAGTCAATTTGCACAATAAATTTCTTTCTGTTTCGGACAATTTTTTAATGTAGAGATTCAAGGATTTGGTTGAGTAGAAGTTGATCCAAATTATCTATCAGACAGTCAGCTTAGACATCTGACATCCTGCTGTTGTCTCCTGCTTCTAGGATTCCTTTCCAATCATACAACCAAGTCAAACTGTCACAGTGCCTTTTGGTAGCAGTTTCTCTGGTCCAGGACTAACAAAATCATATCTGTCCAGCCAGCAATCACCTTGCTTTTCAATAACATTTCTAATACCAAAGAATATATATGTAGTCCTGATTTAGAGACTGCCCCATTTAGTGACTATTCACAGTTATGATGATGAAGAAAAAGTAACTTTATTATCAATCTCACTTTTGCAATCTTTACAGGACTGCAAAGCAAAGCAAAGCTGAAGTAAGGTTTTACGCACAGTTGCAGTTTCACTTAGCAACTGCTTCATTTGACAACCAAGTTTCCAGTCCCAATTGTGATCACTAAATAAGGACTATATGTATAGTTTCTGCATAGACCACATAGACTTTTCACCTGTCTCTAAGCATGCACAGTGAATGGACATGGCTGGAAGGATCTGCTCTTGTCTGAGTATTAAAACTGAGAGCTATAAAACAGATCATAGTCAAGATAAAAGAGAATGTTTGTAGCTCAGGGTTGAAATGGGGGTTCCTTGGTTCTCTTTGAGCTTGGCTGTTTTCTTGCAGACATTTCTTTGGCTGTTTACTGTTAGCTTCTTTTGACAGTTCTTTGATTGGGGTATTGTTTACTTCAGCAACAAACAAGAAGTAAATGATGCCCCAACCAAACTTGCCAAATAAGTTAACAGTAAACAGCCCAATTAAGGAACTATCAAGCCCACTCCCACCAATACTGACAGGACAAGTCACTAGAATACAAACTGAGGGCAAACTCTACTCCCTATTAGCGCTATTACCTAGTTTGGGTAATGAAGTGTCTGCAAGAAAACAATCAAGCTCAGATAGCACCAAGGACCCCTCAGATCATGGCCATTTGAAGTCTTTCCTAAGAACATGTATTTCCTAATTTGCATTGCATTGGGACTGAGTCTTTTGCAAGAGTATTTACCAATTAAGCGTGTTAGGGCCTTTCATAATTAAACACCTCCATACATTAAAAAAAACCCTGATTGTCATCCTCTGCAATATATTTCAGTGTGTGTTGCATAAATAAAGAAAATATAAATAAAGAATATATATATATATATATATATATNACTTGTGGACTTCAACTCCCAGAATTCTCCAGAGCTGGCTGGAGAATTCTGGGAGTTGAAGTCCACAAGTCTTAAAGTTGCCAAGTTTGGGAACCACTGCTGTAGAGTATCCATTCCCTCTGGATACTCATTTAGATAATATTTTGAGACAAGAACCATTGTTTGTTTGTTTGTTTCTTCATTTGCCATCCAATAATAGATTGACTTTCAATATCTCCATTCCTATCAATTACATATAAGCTCCCAGGATTTAGCACTGTTTTCATTGAAAACCGTTTTGAGAATTTGTGATGGCCAGCAATTTATCCCTGCACATCTATTAATATGTTATCCAGTTATTTGCCTGAGTCTGCATGCGCAATAATGTAATGACATATTTATTTCTTTGATGCAATCCAGTCCTTTCAAGAATTTGTAGCACTTAGTTTTCTACTACGGTAGACAATGTCTAATAAGTCTTGTAATTGTAGACATGAAATGAAGACTTTAAGTCTAGGCAAACATATTTAATGTTAGACAGATTTATATTAGTGCTGAATATGAAGTTTCACTCTCCAGTGCCAATGTTTTACAAAAAGAAACTAATGCTGCATCCTGAGAGTTTTGCTTAGCACAGATAAACAAAAGTTAAATGTTTTTCTGAGTTTCATATAACCTTGCTACTGTACAATCTGTTTTGAAAGGAGACAAAGCAAATAATGTAATTTAATAAAATAATATCAAAATTGTAGAATACATATTTTAATCGCTTCAGTTTTTTACATTGATATAAACAATGCACATTATATCATGTACACTTTACACTGAACGTAGCTACATAATTCTTGAAAGTATAACTGGAACAATATGGATAATTCATAGCATGTCATATATTAACCTTTTCCAAAAGTGTTCATAGAATTTTTGCTTTTCTGTGCTTATCCTCAAATGGGAAAATATGCCAAGGAATCTAAAGAAGAATCAACTCATATTTTTAGAAATATAAATATATATTTAGGATATGATTTATTTAAATTGGGAGGATTCATACTTTCAAATTCATACATAGAAAGTGTAATTCAAAATTTTGGAACTGTACTTTTTGCTTTTGCAAATCCATTCTGTTAAGACTAAGACAATATGTTTTTGAAAGCTGCCACAGATGGGTAATGTTGAGTCGTATAGCATCATGTCTTATCTCTGATCTTCCTCTTCTCGTTTCCTTTTTTCTTTCTGTTTCAATTATTTGAGCAGCATCAAGAAAAAATTACCAATCCATCAAAATGAGTAAGTCCCCATGTGAAGTCATGAAATGCTTGCTATTACATGTCATTTCATGCTTCTACAACTTAAACTTTGACCATTTTTTCCCCTTTGTGGGAAAATGTCAAGTTTAGGTGACAATATCACTGATTACTGATGTGAATATTAGCATCAAAATAACAAATGATTGCTACTGTGGTGCAATCCATGTGGCGTTTTCATTTTTTGAACAGTGTGTGACTCATGTATTCATGCATTTCCAGTTTGTTTTAATTTACAAAATAACCAAATTTAGTGTTTTCAGACTTAAAGCTGTTCAGTTTGTTGACATTCCATTTCTGTATCAATAGACTAGTGCATCAAGATGAAAGCTTGCCTGATCTCACAATGATGAATTTGAATGCCAACATTGAAGAGGAAGAGGAAAAGATGTTGGAAGAACCAGAAAAAATGTTGCAGGAAGAAAGTATAATAGAAAGAAGAAAAAGTGAAAATGAAGTAGATGATAATGAAAAAAAGGAAGAAGAATCGGATGAAGAAGGTGAAGGTGAAGATGAGGATGAGGATGAATCGGAGACAGAAGAAATATTAGGTACAATTGTGGATGGAGGATCAATTTTATTTTACTATTTGGATGATTATCATGGAATAAATTAGACATTTCTGACAACATTTTGTATCTTATCAGATTTTCTTTAAAAATAAATATATACATAAAATATAAAAATTATATTCAGTAATGAATTAATAAAGGTAATGAGTGCATATTGGATTGGGATTGTATGATGTTGGAGTGCAACAATGTGGTAAACGTTGCAGAAATAAAGTGCAGTATGATTATATTGTTAACAGTGACTCAATTAAAGAAGTGGTTTGCTTATTTGGTGTTTGTATGTATATAAGAGAGAGGAGGGGAGAGATGTTTCATTGATTAGCTCTTCATTTTGGGGGAAATCAATGTGTTAAACGATAGAAGTGGCCTGGTTTCAGTTGAATCATAATCCTATGTAATGCCAAACCAAAATAAAAAAGTTCATCTGTTTCTACTAGTCAAAGAATGCAACAATATTTGTCACTATGGCAAAGATTTTCTGATACCCTACAATAATATTTTGTACTGTTAATATTATAGTATATTCATTAGTAAATGTAGTTGCTGAAACGTTTTCAAGGAAAAAAACAAGAAAGTCCAGTTGCCTTTTGGAAAAGCACTTTTCGGACAAACCTATCTTATATTTTATATTATATTATATGCAAATATAATATTTATATTATTTCATATGCAAAATATAAGATGGAAAGAACCAAAGGTGCTTTTCCAAAAGGCAACTGGACTTTCTTGTTTTTTTCCTTGAAAACATTTCAGCAACTAGATGACTGCAAAGTGTATAAATTCTTCCATTCCCCACCATTCAGTTAATTTTTTTCCAGTTTTTGGATGAAAAACAAAATGTTTTCAAGAAAAAAACCAAGAAAGTCCAGTTGCCTTCTACAACAGAACCTTTGGGACAACTATGATTTGAATGATTGAGAATCTCCATAGTCAAAAGATAGACTTTAAGAAAAAGATTGTCTTGTCAATTGGATAAGCATAAAAATAAAAATTTAAAAATAAAAAGATTAGTTTGATCTAATACTTTTTAAAAAATACTTTAAGGAGAAATGTGCCTCTCTGTGTGTGTATATAAACAAACTGTATTTCCAGCTGAAAATAACAGTAGCTGTTTTTTCGCAGCAGTGGAAAAGTATGTCACTGCGTCTTATTTGTCTTTTAGATTTAAAGAACAAATGGCATTTGGTAATTGACCGTCTAACTGTACTTTTCCTGAAGTTTCTGGAATGCTTTCATAAGCTTCAAGTTTTTGTATGGTGGCTTTTGGAACTACACATTATCAAAATTGTGTCATCATATATTATATGGGTAACGGTAAAAGAGGCAAGTATATAATAGATAGTCCACTTTCTCTTGCAGTATCAGTATTGCAGTAGAATACAGTAGAATGCTTTTCTCCTTGAACATGAATCTGAGGTTTTGCATGATCCATATGGGATTGAAGCTTTCTTGAAGCTAATATCAAGCTGTCAGCGTAAAGGAGCACCCTTGAAAAATATGTAACTGAAAATGAGCTCTGTTAGTCTTCCATGCTTTAACAATGTATTTCTTTTGCATTCAAATTTTAAAACAAATGAACTTTTTAATGATAATTTATGCATTTATTTTTAAATTTGAATCCTTCCTGGCTATCAAATGTATAAAACATAACGCTAGTCCATAAGAAGAGCCCTGGTAAATTATATCAGATCTCAAAATGTAAAAGGTATGCATTGTAAAATTTGTACTGTATATTTTGAAGATTTGGTTGCACACTGGAAAACAAAGTTTTGTTAAGTAACTGTCCATTCATTGAACTGTTTTAGTGCACCCCACAACTTTCTTTCCATTTGGTTGTGTTAAATCGGGTGAATGAAGGTACACTCAGGCTTCAGAGTAACTAAGAGTTTCCCCAGCGTAGTTGTGGGCATAAACTTGATCCCCTATGCTAAAGTTTCTTATTTTGCCGGTCGAATCTGGGGGCGACGCAGCAGAGTAGTTTGGGTGTAGCCGGTTTAAGTGGGACCTTAGCCGGCGACCCATTAGAAGCTCGGAAGGGCTTCTAACAGTGGTAACACTTTGCGTGATGTGCTGTATGAGGAGGAATTGATCAACCCGTTTTTGCCAATCTCCCGGGCCCATCCTGGATAGCGTTTCTTTTGCAGATCTCACCATTCTCTCCGTCTGACCATTGGAAGCCAGATGGAATGGAGCGACCAGGGCATGTCAGATTCTCTGTGCTGCTAAATAGGTCTCAAATTGCATGGCCGTAAATTGGGGCCCGTTGTCAGAGACCAAAACATCAGGCAGGCCATGCATGGAGAAAAGTCTCTGTAGTGCCTTGATGACCGCTTCTGCCATGGTAGAGGTAATGAAGACTACTTCTAGCCATTTCGAGTAGGCATCCACAACTACCATAAAGGTCTGGCCATAAACAGGGCCAACAAAATCTATGTGCACCCTAGACCATGGTGCTTGAGGTCGCTCCCACTCCTTAACAAGCGCCTCTGGGGGAGCTGGTCTGGACTCCTGGCACGGTGTGCAGGTAGCCACCCATTCTTCTATCTCCCTGTCAATGTTAGGCCACCACACATAACTGCCATCCAAACATTTCATCCTGACAATTCCAGGATGCCCTACGTGCAAGGCCTCTAATACTGCAATGCGTAGTTTGGGTGGAACAATGATCTGGTCCCCCCACAGTAAACAACCATTTATTACTAACAGTTCATCACGTTTGCAGTAAAATGTTTTAAATTCAGACCCCACAGGCCCTTTGGGCCACCCCCTCCACACCCATTTCAAAACCTGTCGGAATGTAGAGTCTTTTGCTGAGTGGCAGGCGACGTCACAAGATGAAACAGGACCAGCCTCAAGACAGGGGGACTGGTGTCTTGGGGGTAGGGTCTGCAAGCAGTTCAGGCTGTGGGCATCGATTCAAGGCATCGGCATGCTCCAAAGTAGAGCCAGGTCGATGGACGAGGCAATAACTGTAGGCCTCGAGGAAGATTGTCCATCTGTGTTCCTGAGCGCGTTTGAATTTGCTGCTCAAAGATGGCTGCTCGATGCCGCGCCGGGCTCCGGGCTAGATTGACTTGCTGTATTGTCATGCTCTTTTGTCTGCCTAGTTTCCTTCCAATCCCGCCTTTGTTGCCAGTGTTAAACCGGGTGAATGAAGGCACACTCAGGCTTCAGAGTAACTAACAGTTCTTTATTAGCACAAGTCAACTATGTACAATCCAGCGAAGGTTCAGTCTGACNTATATATATGTGTGTGTGTGTGTGTGTGTGTGTGTGTGTGTGTGTGTGTGTGTGTGTGTGTGTGTGTGTATGTATACACACATATACACACACACACACACACACACACACAGACACACACACTTCAAAAGGAATATATATATTTCCAGCATCCTGTTTTCTTAAATTAGACAGATGAATATGAACTACAGGCAGGACATTATGGTAATAATGACCTGCATTTGGAACTATTGTGATTCTAGAAGTGATGCAGAAGGCCTAAAGAACGGCCTTGAAGGAAAGTGCCATTACAGAGGCGATATCAGATAAGTGTATCTTGTCCATTCCAAGAAACTAACTTGAGAAAATGCTTCAAATTTATCCTCCCCTAATTCACACCGTGTAAAGTTGTTCTAATAAAAGTAACTCTGGACCTTTATGACATTGGTTTCTTAGTCTGGTCTAGTTTCTAAATCTGATAGGTATACTATAACTGTTATTATATACCATGTAGGAAACACAGAAAAATATTTTATAGCTGTATACAAAATAGCCATTGACATTTTGTACAGTTCATGAGCAAAATTATTTGAAAATAGAATTCATCAAATTAAGTTGAATATACCTCTGTATAAGTGTTCTTTAAGAAGCAATTGATTTAGGTATTAGATGTTTGTATGTGTACCAATAAGCAAGCATTATTTAATCTTCTGAATGTCTGAGTGTTCCTGTTTTGTATTTAATCTATATGGTTGAGAAAGAAAATGAAAGCAGCACTGAATTTATATCAAGGAAAGTAGTAGAAGTGATTGCTTTCACAAGTTGCCTATTTTCAAAGGATTCCTCTGATCCTCATTCAACAGGTCCTGCTTGTGACCCTGAATGGTACACCGGTTGATTATCAAAACATACACCCTTTGCGCCCTATAGAAAATGGACCTGCTAGGACAGATCTATACTCAAGACCACAATACAAGTGGGATCCCTCAGCTAACGATCTAGGTAGTCATCAAAATGTGAGAATAAATGGTTGTATGGTTTAATTGTTTAGATGTATATTCATCTACTTTTTTTCATTTTACGAAGGGAGGACAGGGTGCCATCCTATAAATTACCTATATCATCCATTTTGGCATCCCAATCCATACCTTCCTATGGTGTCTGCAATTAACTGGGTATGTTGGGGTGTGTATATTGCTGGAGAAGTTAGTATAATGATAATGTGTACTTTTAATCTTTAAGTGGATTGGCAGAATACTGCTTGCACAGCAAAAAAGTAGTGGACCTTTGTTTAATAGTGATCTAAATTTCCTAGATGGTTGGATTCTTTGGCTTTCCTTTTGTTCAACAGCCTTATTTAGGCTACACAGATCTGATTATATATCCACAGCCCCTGCGTCATCATTGTGCAAGATATTTGTGCATTCCTGCCATATTCTGTCATTTTGTTTATAGCTTTCAATTATCAGATTACTTAAATTAGTTTATGAATCTATATCACATAAACATTATTTGCAATCCATACAGTTTTTCTTATTTCTCAGAAAAGAAAGAAGAGGAGGAAGAGGAAGAGGAAGGGGAGGAGGAGGAAGAAGAAGAAAATTCAGAAGAAGAAAAAAACTCCAAAGTTCATGCAATGGTCTCAGTTTTTCATTTTATCATGAAACAGAGTTATGTCTGTGCTTTGATCGCCATGATGGTAGGTTACATTGGTTCTTGATCCACCTTGAAATCAAGACAGTGCTGTGACCCAGGACAAGTTTTATGTGATGTTGTTTAAATTTGTTCTTTCTGATTTTTATCACTGCAAGTCTGCTTGAATTAATGAAAGAGAGTCTTTACATTACATTCTGATCTTGAAGCTTGAAATTTTTAAAGCACAGGATTGTGGACTTGAGCCTGGGATTATATATTGTATTTTATGTAGTTTACAATTGTTATTATACTCAGTTCCACTTAGTGCACAGGTAGTAAAGAATGCAGTTAAAAATTTCTTGATCCTGTTCTCTTCAGTTTTTGGAGCATTATCTTGCTGATTGATACAGGGGAGAGGCAGAGAGAGAGTGCTGATCTCATTTATATAGTTTCTTTCCACTGGATTGCAAAAAGTACGCAAATGCAACAAGATCATCCTTTCCAAACCATCCACTATATTTTGTTTTGGTGAGAATAAAGATATAAAGTTGAAGAAGGATTCAGATCAATTGGGACAAATTCAGAAAATTGGCAATTTAGGATAATCAACTAAATTAATGAATCAGTAAACTAAGCTCAGTCCTGAGAGACTGAAAGAGCTGAATTTGGGTAGTCGTCACTGTGGATTCCACAGTCCTGTTGCAATACCTGACATAATGTCACCTAGATAAAATTCAAAAACTGTTCTCTCTTGTTTCAGATTACAGGACAAGTTTCAGGAAGGGTGTTTCCTGAAACACACTGATTGTAGACCATTCTTAGCAGTCAGAGTGGCAGAATTAATGGCCTACAAATGTGGGTGGCTTCCATTCACTGGAAGTAATTCCATAGAGAGTGGAAGTCCATCTGTTTTGAAATCTTTAATTTATATTTCTGCGCTGGGCAAAGTTCTGAACTTATGGCCTAAAGTGCCCCTTCCAATTTTGTCATTCTAAAGTTCAAATACATTTAATGTTGAACTGATGAAATTATACAGTATTCATTTCTTTTTCTTTCCTTCAAGGCCTGGAGTATTACTTACCACAGTTGGTTAACATTTATATTATTGATATGGTCTTGCATACTTTGGATGCTTCGTGACCGAAGGAAATATGCAATGATAAGTTCACCTTTTATGGTGGTTTATGGAAACTTATTATTAACATTTCAATATATATGGAGTTTTGAGATGAGCAATAGTGAACTTCCTCAAGTTTCTGGATTTCTAGAACGGAAAGACCCCCCTGAATTAGGATCAAAGGTAATAATTGCACACAAATCTATATGGTCAGAACATATTTTATAAAATTCATGCATTTATAACAGTAGTGAATAACCTCTAGATTTTTCAAAAGTACAACATGATAACTGTGATTAGTATCTGAAAATATATACCTAAAATATTTTTTATATTTTATTTTGACTGTAACAAATGTCTTTTGGTATTTAAGGATCAGCTTTAGGAACACAAGTTATTTGTGTCATTAATTATTATTTCTTGGATAAAAAAACTTTCTTCATAGATTCTAAAATAATTTATAGTTATTGTTGTTATTTCCCCTGCCTTGCACTAGGTAATTCTAGTCTTTTATTCTGTGCTGGACACTCCTTAATTAATAATTAAAGTTAAAATGAATTTAAAAAATATGACAAATGACTCAGATATTCTGTTGGATATGTCTGAAATGAATTTCTATCAAAGAACTAAATGTTTTAGAATCTAACTAGAATCTATCAATTTTATCATTAATTAGGTATTTTATAAAATGTCCTATCTAACCTTTGTGGCTATCATAAAAGATCATATTGCAAATAAAAAAGAAATAATCCTATACCTTAATAATATAGGAATGATTTCTGGATAATGTAAAGAGGATAAATTATATTCTATATTTAAACACAGTCCTTCCTTCTCTAGAAACAGGTGTATAAATTGAATATAATTCTAGACTATAATTCTGCCTACTATGTTTTTCAAATGTGCTTACTTTGTAGAAACGTTTGTTCCCTTGGGAGATTTTTGAAGCAAAAGTCAAGTAAAGCATTAAAATAGAAAAGGAAGCAACAAGGAGAAATCAAAGCCAGTCATAATAATTACCTCTATGAGGTAATTTCTCTTGGCAAAGAAAGAATTGCTTTATCCTTAAGAAACCAGGTGATTCTTTTAGGGAGTATTAGACAACCCATGACCTGCTGGGTCATTGTTTCATTTGCATCATAATTTCAGTCCTTTTCCCATGTGACAGCATTCACTGACTTGCCTTCTGGCCTTAGATTTGCAACTTCCTGCTCACTTCCCCACTGACTTTGCTTGTAGAAAGCTGTCAGGGAAGCACTGGAAATAACAATTATGTGACTGGCTGGCAATGGCAGAGTGGCAGCATGGTGACAATGAAGTGGCCATAGGTTTTCCAAATTTGAATCCCATGGGAGTAAGGGGTCCTGGAATTTGGACACATTCTATCATAGATCATTTGGGGTCCTTTTGTTGAAAAATTGTTGCCTAGTTGAAGACTACAGACAGACAGATATGACAGTTTTAGTAGTATATAGATTTGCCACCATCCCTGACTGTTACTTAAATCTACAAGATCCTGAATGTTAATTAAAAAGGAATGGATTGACATCTGTGCTTAATTTATTTATAAAGCAAATATTTCTATCCTGCAAAATTACTTTGGAAGAAATAGCCAGTTCATTTTTCTTTATATAAACGTATTTCTATCATTCATTTTCAAGGCATTTTGATGCTCTGCACATAAAATCTCCACGAAATCCAATTTAAAATCCAGTGGAATTTTAAAAAATTAATAATATTTTTTAAAATATAAATATTACTTTCTTCACTCTTACATGAAGCCACTGAGTGAGATCATTTGCTGTCAGGGGTTGGGGTATTAGTATGCTGATGATACACAACTTTATATCACCATACTGGTGATCCAAGTTATGCTTTTGCTGCCCTCTCAGAGTGCCAGGAGACTGTGGGGTCTGGATGGGGGAAGCAGGCTTCATCTGAACCCTGACAAGATAAAATGGCTTTGGGTACATGAAGCTTCAAGATCTGGAACTTCAGAGAGGAGGAGATGACGTCATGACGATACAACATGCGATCTTGGAGCTCCAAGATCACAATCAATATCTCTGCCTCTGGATGGTCCTTTTGGACCTAAACCATCCCATAGAGATGATGATAGAGGAGGGCACATCCTGCTGATCTCAGGGACACTGCAAAGTCCCTGATTGATCCAGGAGAAGCTCTTTTTTCCAGTGACAGAGAAGCAGCCATTGAAGCTGCTGAAGTTGGGACAGCTCCAGAACGGAAGGAAAGCGGGGGAGAAAGTGTGTCGAATTGGTAAAAAAAATTTATTAGTAGAGAAGAGCTCACCAAGAAACCCAAAAATTAAATTAAAATTGAAGAAAGAAGAGAGTAAGCAGAGAGATTAAGCTAGTATTAAACTTAGTGTGTTATCTTTTTTTTTTTTTAACGGATGGAATTTTTACAAATGTTTCTTACTTTTTAAATTGGATTGATTATTTTTTTTCTACTTTTTATTCTTTTTATATTTGTATTTGTTTATTATTTATAGGCCGCCCTTTTCCCTGAGGGGACTCAGGGCGGCTTACAATTTATATTCTATACTTATGGATTAAAAAAATTGTACAACACTTGATTGGATTGTTTTTCTTTTAAGAACTTTTCTCCTTAAGTTTGGAAAACAAAGAGGGATCTAAAAGCAGAGGAAGAAGAAGTAACACTGTCACTTAGAAGCTGGAGGCTTAGAAACATTGTTTTTCTCTTTGAACATTTGACATATCTCAAGGCTTCTCAGTTTGTTTATTGAAAATGATAGTGGGAAAAACACAGGTTGTTTATACAGGTGCTCTTCTGGAGTACTATCAGTAGTTGAACTGGAGTGAAGGAAAAGCCTTGACTTGAAAGATTATAATGAACTTGCTTGAAATTTAACAAAAACGCCTTGGTTGTTATAGTGGCAGTGTTTATAAATTGGAAGAATAGGGCAACATGAAAAAGAAACATTAACATTGCAAATGATTATGCTAGAAATTCAAAAAATATTAGTAACAACAGAGAATTATCTGGATTCCTTTCAGTCGGATTTCAGGCCTGGTTACAGCANAAAAAAAAAAATCAAGATTGTGGCCCAGTGCACACCCAATGCACACAGGATAACAGAATAAGAGAAACTAAGGGACCTTGGAGGTCTTCCAGTTCAAATTCCTGCTCAAGCAGGAATCCCTATAACATTTCAGACAAATGGTTGTCCCATCTCGTCTCAAAAGCCTCCAATGTTGGAGCACCCACAACTTCTGGAGTCAAGTAATTTCACCGATTAATTATTCTAATACACAAAAAAGCAGAAGTTGGTAGTCACTCTGTTGTGACTACCAATTTAAAGCTTTTGATACATCTATTCCAGAATATAGAAAGATGAAAGCTATATTATGAATGCCTTATTATTTACCATGTTACATAACCATAGTGTGACTTTAATGGTAGATTATGCAAGTATATAAAGGTTAGTAAGTAGAAAAAAGTTGAAGTGAAGTAAGTAATCCCATGTATTCTAAAAAGCTACAATTGAGAGCATCTAGAAGGTAACACAAGAATGTATCCAGGAACAGCTGAGGTAGCAGAATGGCTGAGCCAATGCCAAATGATCAGTTATTGGGTTCTTGGTGTTCTCCGGGTTTTATTATTTTCCTGCAGATGTTTTGTTATCAAGCTAGATAGCATTATTGGTGCATATGAGAGTCAGGTTTGGTGGAGTGTCTTGCCCGACCAAGGAAATTATTGACATTCTAGCTCAGGGAATGTCAAACTCAAGGCTTAAATCTGGCCTGCAGGGCCAGCCTGGAAATAGTAAATGACTGGCCCACGGTGCCTCTGGCAGCCAAAATGGGGCATGAGGAGACCGTGCATGGTTCCCCACGCCCCATTTTTGCCATCAGGGTACTGCAGGAGGCATCTGCCCTGTCTCCCCCCCCCCCCGAGCTGGCCACAGAGAACTACAATGCTGGTCCAACCCTTGAAGAAATCCAGTTTAACACCCTTGTTCCAGATCAAGCCAAATCCAAAACTCTTAGGAAAATAGCAATAGCAGTAGACTTATATACAGCTTCATAGGCCTTTCAGGCCTCTCTAAGTGGTTTACAGAGAGT